GACGAACGTGTCTCCCAGCTGTGCACTTCTGAGAAGGTTACCTCAAGTGAAACTGCCTGCAGTGCTGATATTAAGATCACGGATGGGCTGGTTGGCTTTTTGTCCGGCAACTTCTCTGAGAACACATGGAAGGACGAGTACCTCGGGGTGAACGCCACAGTACATAAAGGAACGGAGGTAACAGAGGCAACCGGGGCAACAAAGACTTCCGATGGTGTGACATTCCAGGGAGCGTGGGCGGAGTGGCCTGTTGGCAGTCAAGGGCAGAATCAGCTGTACCACTTCGCGAACTACAACTTCACTCTTGTGGCGACGGTGTCCATCGACGGTGAGCCGAAGGAAGATACCCCCATTCCTTTGTTGGGTGTGCGTGCGGGCAGTAACGGGGGAAAAAAACTTTTTGGACTGTCGTACAACGGCGGAGATAAGTGGCAATTGCTGTGCGGTGACGAAACAAACAAGGAAATCAGCAGCACATGGAAGCGAGGGACAAAACACCAAGTGGCCATTGTGCTACGGAACGGCAGCGATGTCTCCGCGTACGTCGATGGTAAACGTCTGGGGAAGGATGCGCAATGTGAATTGAAAAATACAGATTCGGAAGGGATATCGCACTTCTACATTGGAGGGGATGGTGGCAGTGCAGACAACACAAGAAGCCGTGAAGTGGTGTCTGTGACGGTGACGAACGTCCTGCTGTACAACCGCCCGCTGACTTTTTCAGGTGGGAATGCCGAGGTGGAAGAAGTTACCGATTCACCATCAGCGGAGCCTGCTTCTCCATTTGTGGCAAGGAATCAAAATGCGGCGCCTCCTGCAACGATACCTCCTGAAGCTCCGGTGGGGCAAACGACCTTGCAGCAGCCTCAACACGAAGGCAAAGGGCAAAATGCAACGGCGGAGGAATCTGCCACTACACAAGAAGTTCCGGCGACCACATCGCAGGGAAGTGTGGGGAAGGCGGCGGCTTCGAACTCCCATGCCGCTGGAGAAGCAAGAGATGATGCCGGCATTATGCGTGAGAGCGGACTGCCGCCATCGCTGCTCCTTCTGTTGGGACTGTGGGGGTTTGCAGCTCTGTGAGGAGTGACTGGCTGCCGCGTGGGACACTTGCGACCCCCGCTGCACAGACACACACACCTGGCCATGAATTTCTTTTCCTAAATAACTTTTATTTACTTTTCTTGCTTTATTTGCGTTTTTAAATTGTTGTTTTTCTTTTTTTTATCTCACTCCCGCATCCCTTCTATTTTTGCTTTTGGGGGCAATCACTTTGGACGTTTTCTTTTTTTTTCTACTCTTCCCTCTTTAATTGTTTCTTCTGCACTCTTCCTGTGAGGGGTGCCGTGTGTTTCCCGCCCAACTGCTCCGCTCGCACACCACCGACACGCTCATGACGACGGCCCTGTGCGCCTCGCCTGCTGCACGCATGAGGAGGGGCCGCGACGAACGGCGCGCTGAGGGAGCCGTGACGTGTGGGTGTGCGACGAGGGCCTGTGGGGCGGAGCACACATTTCTTCCCTCTTGTTTTGTTTTCCTTGCGGCCAGGGCGGGCAGACACCCGCAGCGCCACACACACACAGCCACACCCTGCCGCCGTGTTTTTCTTTTTTTTTCTTTTCATTTCACGCACTGGCAGTCCAGTCAGCATTTCTCTCCCTCCTGATGATTTTTTTCTTTTGCTGCGCTCACTCCCCGATGGAGAGACGCGACTCCCGTCATGTCTGCGTGCTTCTCTCAGTCCCCACACACGAGTGACTGTGCTCTGCGGGCCGCACTCGCACGCCGATGAGAGGGCTGAGGGGAGCAGCAACACGCGGATGACCCCATGAAATATAAACGATGTGCGGACACGCAGAGGGTCGGACGGTTGAAACACACGCAACCATCTTTTTAATTTTCTTTTCGGGCAAAATACATACGGACAGTTTGGTGTGGCCACACGGCAGCCAGGCGATTTTTAAATTTGTGTGGAACAGTAATGGACGATTTCTTTTTCATTTATAATTATTTTGTGTGATGGGGTTTGTATAAGACGAAGGGGATGTTCTTTTTCTGTTTTAAATAAATATTGTGTGGATTGCCGCTGCTTGGGCTGCAGTGCAGTCATGAGTTTGAGCGGTCCTCTTCTTGTTGTTTCCGCCATGCGTCTCTGCTGTACATTTTTGTGCGTCCCTCCACATACTCTGCTCCCTCTTTTCTGCTTCTTTGCTTTGTGTTTCTGCAGGCACACACACACACACAATATGCACATTGCAGTGGATATGAATGCTCCTTTTGTAGTGCATGCTGGCAGTTGCGTGTGGCGGCTGTTGTCTTCTTCCGTGGCCATGAGGCGAAGGGAGGGGAGGGAGCGCGCACCCCGAGTCTCTTTTCCTGCGGGTGTGATGCACCGCGTGTGGCTGCGCTGAGTTGGGCTCCGTGTCCCATTGAGGGCGGGATGGCAGGAAATTTTTTTGCCGCGTCATGGACGGATGAGGGTTCGCTTGCGCGTGTGGCTGGTGTGGTGGCCGCGGTGTTTTTGCCGTTTCCCTGGGGCTGTGGCGATGAGCTGGGGGAGATGGTGGTGGATGTCTTCTCCTCCTGCATGGTGGGTGGCTTCTGGCGTTGTGTGCCTTCGTTGCGTGGATGCCGTCTCGTGGTGTGTGAACTGTGCGGCTGGGCCTGCTGCCTCTCCTCATGTTGTCTGCTCTCACTCGCTGTATCCGCTGCACTCCGTCCCTCTCCCTCCTGTTCCATTCCTTTTTCTTCTGGCTCACGGATCGGCTCACTGGCTCCAGCGACTCCACTGCGGGTGATGATGACTGCGATGATGACGATGGTGACGGTGCGGCACCGTGTGGTGTGCGCCGTGTTGGTCCTTGCGCTCCCGTGCTGCTGCTGCAATTCCGTGTGCGTGACGGCGTGAGGAGGCGATAATAATGATGACAGAAGTCATCTAAACCATATGTTAGGGAAACCAGATTTTACAGGAAATGCGCTTGATTCGTTACAGACAGAGAGTGGGAGAAACTGTGAGGAAGGTTTGAGAAGTCAAGTACCTTCTTTGCCAAAGGAAGCAGATACTGCCATTACTGGACACACACCAGTTCCGCCACAGCCACTACGTTTTTCTAACGATAATCCAGAGTCACCAGGTTTGGCGACGCAGTGTCGACACACATAAGGCGCGACCGGTAAGTCAGATGCAAAAAATAAATAGGCGGAGGAATATCCACAAGGTGCTGAGAATAATACGGCAAAGACATCACGTCAGAAGACAAAAACGACAAATAAGACAACGACGACCACCCGCGCACCGTCACGTCTCCGCGAAATCGACGGCAGCCTCGGCAGCTCTGCGTGGGTGTGTGCCCCGCTGCTGCTCGCAGTATCCGCGCTGGCGTGCACCGCTGTGGGCTGAAAGGGAGCATGGGCTGTGCGTGCCAGCACTCAGCCACGGGGACATGTGTACGCGTCTACTGTGGTCCGATGTATGAAGTAAGAGTAATTATGATGATAGTCTTTGCTTTGTTTGCTTCCGCTGCCCTGCTGTGCGCTCCGCGTTGCTTCCCACATCCGCCACATTGAAAGTGTCTCAGACACACTCATATGCATGCTCAGCGAGGCCTTGAGTTTGTTTTTGTTTTTAATACATTCTGATATGCAGGGTGGTGAACTTTTTCTTGCCCTTACTGATTCCCTCTGTCATATGTTGTGTGTGCGTTGCTGGACTGCTGCCTTTTGTTACTGTGCGTGGCTGTGTGACTTGTCTCTCCTCTTTGCTTTCACTCTGCGTTGACGGGTTGTTAGTTTGAGCTGGAGGCTACACGCAAGTGAGAGGAGTGATGGCGATGGTGATGGCTGGCCGTGTGCTGCTGGTGTGTGCCCTCTGCGTGCTGTGGTGCGGTGCCGGCGGTGGCTACACGTGGCCCTACAAGGAATGTGAAAGCGATGATAAATCCTGCTTTAATCACAGTCAGCACAAGAGTGTATATAACAGTTCAATTCGATCTCGGTATTTGGGTGAGACGGATTCGACATCTACGGGATTGCTTGGTTCTTCCACTGGTTCGACTGGAAATGGCGGTGACGTCTCACGAAATGGTGCAGGCGGAACTACGAACTCCGTAACAGATTCACAGAAGGGAGGTGCTCAGTCCTCTTTGACTCCATCCCAACATGCGTCAGCCTCTTCTGGCGACTCTTCTCGATCCAAAGATTCCTCTGAGAAAACTGAAGAGACTCCTGGTCCTGTCTCAACCTCCGACAATGATGGCGATGGAGGCCCGAACACAGCCAATCAAGCCCATTTGACTGGTGGTGAAAAACTTGACAGCGGCCATCAAACAGAAGACGGAGACACGGACCCCAATTTGCCCATTGGAGATTCGAAGGACGGTGAAGGCACCCACAGCTCTCCCACGCCACCTCCAACCAATAAAGCAAATGTACCCAGAGTAACAGCAGAAGGAGAAAAGGCACCGGCGGTGTTGACGAGACAAGAAGAATCGGAAGGAAATCCAGAAGCAGAACCAGAGAATGAACAGCGCAGCTCTGCGAATGGCGTGTCAGTGCCGCAGCCAGAAGCAGCACAACAAGGCGAAACTGAGGATGATAATACGACGGAAAAAACACCAGACGAGGCCGCAGCTCCGAAAAATGGCACAGCGATGCCTGGCGACAATGACGGCAGAACCGCGGTCTCCCACTCCGCCTCCCCTCTTTTGCTTCTTGTTGTTGCGTGTGCGGCTGCGGCTGCGGTGGTGGCCGCGTGAGAGTGAGGGAGAGAGAGCCGTGCACCGCCCGCACGCACACTCGTCCTTCTCTGTGTGTGTGTGTCCCCTTGCATGGACTCTTGCCCTCACCTCACCCCACGAGGCACACACATAATGTGCCCATTGTATATATGCATGCACACCCATGCAGGCCCGTTGGTGCTCTCTTTTGCACGACACGCACCGCTGCCGTCCTGCCTGGCTGCATGGGCGGAGCACCGTAACTGTTTCTGTTTTGTTTCCATTGCATTGAGTGGGCGACCTCTCTCTCTCTCCCTCTGTGTGTGTGTTTTGCTTTACGGGAGCAATGAGAGTGTGTGCGCTGGTCGTCCCACGCTTCGGCTTCTTTTTTATTCTTTATTTTGTTGTGATTGAGTGCGCCCATTTTACTTTTGAAAGGCGGCATGCTGTGATGGCGGACACTTTAATCTTCTCTTCTTATATTCTCATATTGTTTCATTGTTTCAAAATTGTCACCCTCGTGTATTCTTGTCGGGCCACTAGGTTTTCTATACGCCTGCCATGCGTCAGTTGATCCACGTCACCCCGCAGCCACCAGCGCTGCTGTTACTTCTGCTTGTGATGATTTCTGTGATGTGTTGTGCATGCGGGTGCCTTGCTGTCACCCTGACGTACCCTTTCTCCCTCTGACAAGGCGATGCGTGTCGCCAGCGCGAAGTCGATCTCGGCTGTGGCGAATGACGTGTCCTTTTAGAGAAGAGGGTACGTCGCAGGCATACACCATCATTGTGAGGAATGCATGGGCGCCTATCTGCATCGATGTGTCGACAAGGGACCTGGATGGTACCAGGAAGTATTGCAGCTCAGAGCGGCATTACGCAATGAATTCATTGGTGGCAATTGTGACTGTAACGATGACGTTTTTTTTCTACTGAGAATAGGGAAAGTTTTCTTTTTGTTATACGTTGCTGCCACTATTCGTTGATAGGCTGAGGACTGTCCGTAGAAATGTGGCCGAATTCTCCGTCCCGAACGGTGCTATCGTGCGAGAGGAGTTATCCCACAGCATGTGCGGCAGGGCCTCCCGTGGACCGTCAGGCGGGTCAGCAGCCCATGGCGTCTGCGACGAAGCGGTGGCGGAAGGGCTTGGCCCATCCTGCGTGCCCGCGTTCTTGCTTCCTGTGTGTCCCGCCTGGTGGCGTGCCGGGCGTTTTCGGTGGCGACCTATTCCTAAGGCGCCTGTTAAAAAGACGGTGGAGCCATTGGGACATCCGCACGCGAGGACTTCTCCAACTATCGGAATGCCAGGCTGAGTACGTCAGGCGCGTGTCCTCCATGTTGTGGACGGACGAGTGCGCTCTGCCG